TCAATTCCAACTCGCTCTCCATACCCAACCTAAAAGGCTTTAGCCCTGGTGACTTTATTGTTTGTTAAGGGTTTCACCCAGACTTTTATTGAATGACCATTTGACAAAGGTACTGAGTATTTAATTATGGTTGGTTGGACAGGAGCTTGGGGCTTGTATGGCTAAAGCAAGGGGTATGAGTACGGAGATTGGTTGGGGTTGACTCCGTGTAGTGCGTGGTTTGTCGTTCGATTCTTTGATGTGGTTGCAGGTACGTCTTGTGGCTCATATTTTTGGATTTGGATTGTCTGTGATCCCATATATATACGTATGGTTGTGAGAAGTATCACTTTGCCTGTGAGAAATGATCGTCGCAACTCTATCTCCGTTATGTGTGTATACGTGGGTGCACCTATGATGAGTGTTCGCGTGGCTTAAGGGGCCAAGTGCTAAAGGCCTACTTAGAGGTTAAGACTCGAAGGCACAGGGAAGACCCTTCCCTTTTTCTTGTTTGCTTCTTGGGGGCTTTCTTAGTCAGATGTTGGTCCTGGGGCGGGATTCAAGGTCCTTGTCCAGGACATCCCAAGCCTTAGACTCTGCAGGGAAGGGTTTCCCCTCGCGCAGGGCCTATTTACTCTGCCCGTCGAGACTCCTAACTCTGGGGCCGGAGGTGTCGCGAGGGCCGAACGACATATCCTTCAGCCGTTCAATATCGTGAGGGGTAACCCTTCACGGTATATTCCTTCAGCCGTTCATTATCGTGAGGGGTAACCCCTCACGGTATATTCCTTCAACCATTCAATATCGCGAGGCCGGGGCCGTGGTTACCGCGTATGACTGGCATCGTTGATTGGTACGGGAGTGGTCTGCAGCCGCGCGGCTTTATAGTAGTATCTTGCGCGTGACGTTTCCCCGCCCTAGCGTCTAAAGGTTATGGGATCAAAGGGGCTCGCACTTTGCACGAACGCTTGAGATTATTATAGGCCGCGGGCACCACCCGAAGAGGGGAGCGTACCCCAGATCATGATTTTTTGTTGGAGTAAGGGGAACCTTCGGCCTATTCTTGTTTTTTGGAGATTTTTATGGTTGGACGTTGTAGTGTGTGGCAGCCGTCAAAGTCAAACCCCTTGACTTCAGCCCTGGCCTGGAGTGGGACTCATCTCTAGGGCCGCGAGAAACGACTGCGACCACAGGTATGGACCTGTGTACCACCCACTCTGCACAGAGTGCAGAAGAGGGTGTGTGGTCTTCAACCGCCGAAGGCGGTTGTCCGGCGTCGAGAGATTAACCCTCAAGGCGCGTGTCAGCCGACACTTGAGTGTCGAACGAGACCCTCGAGGTTAACGAGGGCCGCGTAAGTATGGGTACTACATGGTACGCCGTCATTGCGACTGCTTGCGTACGTTTGCATTGCTAGTCAATATGAGTAGGCCCTGCGTCCGCGCGGTTTTATACTATGTCTCGCGCGCGACGCCTATCCGATTCCCGCAGTGGAAAGTTACGGGATGGTCACTTAAAGGGCTAGGAGAGTTGTCACGTTGTTTGTGTTGTGTCGCTTCGTATGTATGTATGTGTGTTCTTTTTTTTTTCTTCGTCGAGTGGTGTGCGCGTGGTGTGTGGGATGCGTCCTAGTCGACCGACGACAAGCCGCGCTTGGGACTACAGCCCCCCAAGATGTCGGTTCGCGTGCGGGTCCGATAGGCGTATTACCGCGCGTGCCCCCTATGCTACAGCGAATGAGAAACGCCCTTGGCTGGTCCACCTCTGCGATTGCAACTGATTAGCTTTCGTACTGTGGATTGATAGCTCGGCTGGGATACACCCACCGAAGAGAGGTGACAACTCCCGTAAGGTGGAGGTAAGTTGTGCCTCGAGTAGGCCCTATCCTGTCGTAGGGGCTCGCGAGAGGAATGGCTGGCGCACTCGGCCGGAGCGGCCTAAGGAAGCTCAATGTATATTTGCGACGAAGGATTTAAAACCAACTCCTGCGTGATGCGGCCTGGAGGGTCCCGCGCTGCCTCGTGCGGTGCCGAACCGATGCGCGTGACAGGTGGCGAAGTTGCCAGGGATAACGGAAGCCTACTGTTGTCCCTGGTGGAACGACATCCGGGTATGGGGATGAGAAGAAATTAGGCATGATTGAGTTGATGATGAGTGGACGAAGTGATATCTTGTGTGGTTGTGTATGTGAGAGATTCGAACACTAACGGACCTAACTGATAGCTAGAGCGATTGCGTGGTTGAAAGACTGAGTAGAGGGTCTTAGGGTAGGAGCTGACCTTATTAAAGTTAGCTCTGCCAACCAAGGTGGGGTCGGCTGAGATCTAAGAGATGCAAAAAAGAGGTGGGGAGCCTGATGGAAGTACGTCAGGGTGGGTTGCTGATTGAAGCTTTCCATTTCTTTTCTTAATAGGAAGGTTGAGCAAGAGCAAGCCGGCCAAGATGTCAGGAGGTGGGGGCGCCACCCCGAGAAAGACTCTGACGCTAGATGACCTGGTCGAAGCCCAGGACAAAAGCGAGAGAGCGCCGAGCAGTGTCCCGAAAGTCGATACCTTCCATTTCAAGGGGGAGCGGGTGTCTGACTGGTTGGATTTGACTGAGCAGGTGCTCGTGGGACTATCGGACGAGGTCAAGTTTCAGTGGATCCTGAAGTACGTCCTTCATAGCCATCATCGGGAGGTGAGTAAGGTCGTGGACGCCGCCAATGGCAGTTGGGCAAGGTTTCGAGACCTGATGATGAGGAAGTACCGGCTGGGAGACGGCCTGTTGACCATGGCTGACTTGGAGGCCATGAATAAGGAGGATCTTTCCACCATTGGGGCCTTTGTGCACGAATTCAAGAAGAAGGCGATAAAGGTGCACCGGATCTCTGAAGAGGCGCAGTGTGCCACATTCTTGGGGCTGCTTACTGGCACGAAGGCCTCAGAATTGACGAGTCATGGAGGAGGGAGTGAGAAACTCACCTGGACCACTATCGATAAAGGAGTGGACGAGGGGAGTCTGGATCAGGTGGAGCAGCACAAGATGAGGCTGCAGAGGCGTAAGAGAAAGGAGAGGGACACGACCGCATCCGGGACTCCAGGGGTAAAGAGGATCGTCACGGACGTGCTGGCGGAGTTGGGGTATGACAACGAGGCGGAAGTGCAGAAAAGAGGAGTGATTGTGGCCCAAGGTCGGGCGTCAGGGGCAGTGGATGAGTAGGCTGGACGCGAAGACTACGGCGGAGAGGAGACGGACTCCCAGGCCCTAACCAAGGCTCAGAGGAAGCAGCGCAACTTGCTGCAGGGAGGTCAGGGATTAGGGAAGGGGCAGGCTCCTCAAGCCATTGCCGCGCCGCCGCTTGTCGCCACGACCGCGCCAGTGCCAGCAGGGCCATCACACATGGGGCCGCCACCAGGTTGTGGGCACTGGATGCCGCATTGTCAGCTAGCACCCTGGCCCGTCGTGTGGAGAGAGTCAGGCCCACACTGGAAAGATGGTCCCATATCCGGGCCCGCCGGCAAGTGGGGGCCCACCAAGCTACCCTGCGACCCAAGGTCAGTTTGTGGCCCAGCCGCCACCCTCCCAGCAGGCATCACAGGCTAATGTGGCCGGGGGAGGAAATCAAGGGCAAGGCGGCCACGACAATGGAGGCCGAGGCCAAGGGGGTCAAGGAGGCGGTGGCCGGGGTCGAGGAAGAAATGGCGGGGGTCGCGGGGGTGGTTGGAATGGTTAGGGGGCCCAGAACCAAGGTGACCAAGGCGGCCAGGAGGGGGGCCAAGGATATGGGAGGCCCCGCTTTGATTGGCGGAATGCCACCTGTTGGCATCGTAGCACTGTAGGCCACACCATATGGTTCTGCCAACAGCGGCGGGATGATGAACTATCACGGCTAATCTCCTCGTATATGGACGACGATATATTCGATAAATGGGGAAAGCATATTGACCCCAAGACCCCAGGAGGATCAGGCAAGAGGCCCTCAGGCGAGCGGCGACAGGGCCACCGGCAGCCCCAACAATGTTTAGAATGTGGCAAGAAAGGGAGGATCCGGGTGTGAGGGTCGAGAAGATCGTGGACGAGAGCGAGGAGGTGACTCAACGATTAAAGGCGGGGACTATAAAGGAGGAACCCATAGTCGTTGAGTCAGACGATGAGGGGTTGGAAGTGGTGAGAGAGTCAGCCCCGACCATTTTGGAAAGGATGGAGGATTTGCTTGCGAAGGTAGCCGGATACCAGGAAAGGCTGAGGGCGATGTGTGCCGAGGCCCAGGAATGGGAAGCGAGCCTCCCGGAGGTGATGCTCTATGAATCCGGCCCGGAATCTTCATCAGGGCCATAGGGGTAACCGGGCGTGGCGACGGTCGGGTCGGGTCCTAGGTCAGGGATGGCCTACAGACCCCCTACGTCACATGGGAGGGTGTCACAAGCCACGCAGACTAGGAGCCAAAGTAAGGCTACCACTAGCCAGGGGCCAAGTCAGGCACCGGGCCGAGCACCTCCTCGAAGGGAATCTGAGCCTGAACGTAGGAAGGAAGTGGTGGAGGTTCAGGAAGAGGAAGAGGAGGGTGATGATGAAGAGAACGAGAGGCTCCGGCAGGAAGAGGATCACAGAGCAGAGCAAAGGGCCAAAAAGAGAGGGGTCCAGAAGGAGGTCGAGTCGAGCCTCTGCGATAGCGTGCCGAAGAGGAAGAAGTACGCGGTCCAGATGGAGGAGGGTTTTGACGTGGAGCGGATGGTGGACATGTTTTTGGAAGGTCATAATGACCTCATGAATTTGAAGGATATCCTGGCATCTGCGCCAAAGCTGCGCGATAGTCTGAGGGGTCGGCTCTCGCGGAGATTGGTGCCCAACGTCCATCTGAGTAAAATCCTGCCTAGAGAAATAGAGTGGACATAGGCAGGTACAAGGATGGACTGGAAGTGTGTGGCGTGCGGGTTGGTGGACCTGAAGGTGAGGGATCAACCAAGCATTGCGATGGTGGACACGGGCGCCGAAATGAATATTATCCGGGAGCGAGACGCGACTATGCTGGGGTTGGAGGTTGACCACTCGGACCATGGGGTGTTGCATGGTGCCAATTGTAAGGCAATCTTCTGCGGTACTGCGTCCAATGTGATGGTGGAAATCGGGAGGGTAAGGGTGTGGGCTTGCTTCTTTATTATGCCCGATGTCGATCACCCCATTCTCTTGAGGAGGTCGTTCCTCTGTAGGACGGAGACTCTAGTCTTCAACAGGCATGATGGAACAATGATCTTGGCCCTGTCTGATCCGACCTGTGGAAACTATGAGATCATTAAGTGCCGGAACAAGGGACCGGGAAGTGGGAGGAATAGGCCAAGCCTCGGCTCCTTTACCTTCGAGGAGTCTGAGTATGCACGACGAAGGCTCCGGGAGGGACTAGAGGAGGAAGGAACGACCGAGGTATTATCGCTGAGCCTTACTGATGTGAACAAGATCATGGAGGTGGTGGCGGCGCACGATATGACGGACCCCGAGGCAATAAAGGCGTTAAGGGAGCAGGTCTTGGAAAACCCTCAGGTGGGAGAGGTGGAGTTGATATATCGGCTTCTAGGAGGGAGGAGAGGCCGTGCAATGGCCCAGGCCCAAACGACAAGTCGGTCTTTTTTAGGGGAGGGCTTAAGCAGGGCTCCCAAAGGCGGTACAAGACCATAGATAAGAAGTGTCGCCCAGTTCCCATGCTTGTCACAGAGGATGAGGAAGCCTATTATGAGCGGGAGCGAGGACTGATAAGACGTATGCGGGAGCGTGCGTAAGCTGGGCCATGTCGTATCAACGATGAGAATGAAGGGGAGCTGATAGTTGGGGAACCCGGCTTCCTTTCACCCCAAGAGAAGACCTTGATGGTGGAGATAAATGAAGAAGAGACATCGCGCGTATGCGTTTAATGACGACGAGCGTGGGAGGTTGGATGTGGATAAGATCCCAATGATACGAATCCACACCGTCCCACACGAGCCCTGGAATTTAAGGGGCGCGCGATGTCCAAATCCAGATGAGGAGAAAAAGGTGGTGGACTACCTGGACGCATGTGGCCGACTACTCCAGTGGGCCGTACGCCTCCCCTTGGTTTTGTTTCATCAAGCCAAACGGGACGCTACGGTGGGTGCAGGACTTGCAGCGATTGAACGTGGTGACAGTGCGGGGTGCGGAAGGGTTGCCATACGTGGACACCCTGTTAGAGTCATGTGCAGGAAGGCCTATAATCTCGCTTATAAACCTTTATTATAGGTATGACCAGTTTCCTGTATACCTGCCAGATAGGCCGGTGATGGCGATGCATGCGCCAAGGGGGCTGATCCATATGAATGTAGCCTCTCAAGGATGGACCAATGCAGTGGCAATGGTACAAAGGCGCATGATTAGAGCCATGCAGGCAGTCAGTCCGCACATTACTCAGCCTTATATCGACGACTTGGCGGTAAGGGTCCAAAGGAGAAGGAGGAAGATGAAGTGATGCCTGAAGTGAGGCGCTTCGTTTGGAAGCATATCCAGGACATCGATCATGTTCTGAGTTTATTGGAGGAACACAACCTGACGGCAAGCGGCTCCAAGTCGAAACATTGTATGAGGGAGGCCACGATTTTAGGCTTTGTCTGTAATGAGAGTGGGCGAAGGCCTGATGTAAAGAAGACAGACAAGATCATTGAGTGACCAGTGCCCTTCCGCTCGATAACGGATGTGAGGAGTTTCCTCGGGACGTGTGAATTTTGGAGGAGCTTCGTGAAGGATTTTGCCACGAAGACGGGGCATTTAAGGAAGTTGGTGCGTCAGGACCAGGAATGGGTCTGGGGTGAAGACCAGGAAGAGGCAAGTAGGTAGGATGAAGGGAGAGTTTAAGGAAGGAGGCTTGGTGTTGGGGGCGCCGAACTATGAGGCCACGAAGGAAAAACCATTCATTATCGAGACGGACGCTGGGCCAACTGCCTTGGGAGGGGTCCTGATTCAGGCAGATGTTGAGGGAAAGGAGAGGACGCTAAGGTTTGAAAGTCGTACCCACAATACAACTGAGAGAAACTACTTTTAGTTTAAGAAGGAGATGCTGGCGGTACTCCACTGCCTGAGGACCTTTCGGAACTATGTTTTCGGCAGAAGGCTCATTTTAAGGGTGAACCCCATCGCGCTTGCATGTTCCCTAAAGAATTATACTCCATCTGATCCGATCGCCGCAAGATGGCTGACCTACATTTGGATGTTTAATTTCGAGCTGGAAAGGATTCCAGGGAACAAGAACAGGGCAGATGGGGTAAGCTGTGTCAACTGGGATAAGCCAGGGCAATAATCGATAGAAGACACCCCACCAGTTGATGGGTTCTTAGACCAGGAGGAAGACGTCCGCCTCCATATAAATGAATGGTCCTTGCGAGTGCCTAGCTGCGTCAGTCACCCCATATGGCTAGCGCCAAAGGGGTACGAGCAAAAGAAGGAATTGATCCTCAAGCCTTTTGAGGAGGAGGATCCGTGGGGAAGTAAGGATGTCGGCTGGATGATGAAGTTGGCATTGGCAGGTACACATAGTCTGGTGGAGGAAGTGCGGACAATAGAGGAAGGCCCAACTCAGGTAGAGGAGCATGAGCAGTTAATGGGAGGGATGTATCTGCTCACTAATACGCTCCTGCAAGGAGGCTTTAACCGGAGGGGCTCACTCAGCCCTATGGAAAGTGAAATCCTTGTTCCCGAAAGTCAAGATGATGAGTTCGAGGAAGGAGAGATCAGGGAGGTTTTTCAGGTGGAGGAGTATGATGGAATTTACCGGGAGTTGGGACTACTCCTATCGTGCGAGATAAGGGATAGAGATGCAAGTGCCAAGGCACAGAAGATGAGGCACCTCTAGGTGGTGAGAGATGGCTATCTGTTTATAAAGCGGCAGATCGGGAATCCTAAAAGGATTGTATGTGGGAGGAACCGGCAGATCGATATTATAGCAACCCTACACGATGGTATAGCAGGGGGGCACAGAGGGATTGGTGCCACATGCGCAAAAATAAGCGAATCGTACCATTGGGACGGGATGCTGACTATGGTCATCAAATATTGCCAGTCTTGTGTACCTTGCCAGGAGAGGTCAATGCAAAGGCCAGGAGAGCCCCTACACCCGAGGTTGGAGAGGGAAGTGGGTGCGATCGTACACCTGGACCTGTTGTTCATGCCAGCTGAAGAGAATGGGTGTAATTACATCTTCGATACACGGGATAACCTTACTGGGTTTGTGGATGGTCGGGCTATCCGGGCGAAGGCGGGCCCAGTTTTGGCAAGCTGCATCGAAGAGTATTACCTGCGCTATCCCTTCGTCAAAGAGTTTGTGATGGACCGAGGGTCGGAGTTCAGCTGTAATGAGGTGCGAACTTTGCTTGCAGGGTATGGCGTAGTGGCTAACTATACTACGGCCGTGCATCCTCAGGCGAACGCGCGTGTGGAGAGGGGGCACAGTACCATCACGAATCTCTTGGCTAAGTGGATGGTGGGCAAGCCTGGTCAGTGGCCGAAGTTCCTGCGAGCGGCCTTCTTCGTAGAGATGGTACGGTGAAGAGGACTACCAAGTACGCGCCAGCCACACTATGGTACAGAAGGCATGCCACCTTCCCCATAGAAAGTTTCATGAAGACGTGGAGGTGCCAAGACTTGGAAGTTAACTTGTCCTTCGAAGAAATGCTCGATATTCGGGCACGACAAGTAGGGGTTGTCGAGGAAAGGTTGCGGGAGGCCGCTGGTCAGGTAGAGAGGAGCCGCATGGAGGACAAGATGAGATGGGACCAGATGGCGCGCGTAAGGAAGAACCCGTTGAGAGTTGGAGAGACGATATTGTTATATGACTCCTAGCTGGAAAAGCAATGGTCCAGGAAGCTCGATAAAGGATGGTTGGGGCCTTATAGGATCGTGCGGTGTGGCGAGTTCAGGGCCTATCAGATCGAGGAGTTGGATGGAGTGGGGTGGTAGGACTGGGTGTCAGGGACAAGACTGAAGAAGCTTGTGGCCAGAGAATAGGTAAGCGACCATGAGGCCTTTTTAGGAATAGAGTCTTGCCCAGATATCACACATTTTGGCTGGATCAGATAGAGGGATGATTGGGATGGATGGGCGTAGAATGTATGTGGGATTTTCCTAGGCTAATGGGCTTAGTTGCTGACCCTGCTGTGTGCCTGTTTGCTGTCTCTCGCGTGTTGTGCAGATCTGACTTTTCGAAGGCAGTCATGCAGAGGGGCGGGAGGGACGCACGGTCACGGCAGGGGCCCCAGAGGGCCTCCAGGAGGGGCCAGTAACACAGGCCGCCTGGGAGGGAGCCTACGCCCGAGTTCGATGACGACAATATAGAGTTCTTCCTGGACATGTATCGGGACCATGCAGTACAGAGAGGATGGTAAGTGGCGGAGATGATTCAACATTTGAGGGGGATAGGGTGGTTTGAGGAGCCTATCGCTCAGATATGCGAGGAGGCCCTGACCTGGCCAGATGTTGAGGCCGGAATGCAGAGGTTGAGAGCTTCACCCATGAGACGTGATGGCAGCCCATTCGGTTAGAGGAGGGGAATGCGGAGGAGTTTGTTCCTGCATACGAGCACTATATGTTGAGCCAAGGGATTGCGCAGGAGGGGTGGATGCAGACCCTACTCATCTGGACCAGAGGGCAGAGAGGCCGGTGGCCAAGAAGATCCGAGATAGGGTGCGAGATTGGGAGGACTGCCAGGCTCAGCTTAGACAAGCGTTTGGGCGGCGAGAGCATAAAAGGCCAGAGCCCAGGGTTGAGAGGCGGAGGCGAAGCAAGAGGCCAAGGGAACCAGTGCCGGGAGAGGCTGAGGTGGCTAGAGAGGGTAGGAGAGCCCCAGCGCGGGGAGAGGACGAGCCCATGGAGTCTGCGCCAGAGGAGGGGCCATTCCCTACTTGTGGTCTTAGGCCGGTGGAGTTTCGGCGGACTACGAGTGATGAATTGCGGGCGCCTTCGTTGCCGTTACCAGGGCCGGAGCAGGTCGTGTCGGGGGAGACGCCGTTCCGGAGTCTAGTGACTCACCTTGACGTATCTCGATGGGAAGCCTCACAGTTGGGGGAGGGCTCAGCTGAGCCAGTGCGATATGTACCAATAGAGGAGCTGTTGGACCCCAAGGCGGAGGCAGACATACGGGGCCGAAGGGAGCCACAGGACCCGGAGGCGGTAGCATAGCAGCGGGGCCTGGCGCGACCTCAGGTTGAGGAGGTGATCACGGTTGGAGACGACACCCCTCCATGTAGCCCAGCCCCAGAGCAGACGCAGCAGCCCTAGCCAGAGGGGATTCCTGAGCCAGACAATGAGGAGATTCCAAAATTTTCCCAGAAGCCACCGCTGTACCTGAGCAGGGGGCAGAGATGGAGGAACAGGGAGAGGGTGAGTGCGACCATTGATCTACCATCAGCCATGCATGTGGTCGAGCGCCCAACTATCGGGGCGCCTGCACCAGTGGAGCCACCGCCAGCGTTGCCATGTACAAGTGGAGGGATGAGTGTCGAGGCGTCAGCGCCGGAAGGCCACGAACCGCGAGTGGGAGGAACCTGAAAGGAAACCCTCGAAGAGAAGTCCGCCAGAGTACGAGTCCGTTTGGTTGAGATACGCACGAGGCAGGCTGAGATGGAGGCAGCAGGGATAGCGCCGACACCGCCAGTCGATCCCAAGACAAGCGAGCAAAGGATCGACGAGTTGTGGGCGAGGTACGAGAGCCAGAGAGATGCAGCCCGCCAAAGATCGTAGGAGACGGGACGGGCGGACGAGAAGGTGGATGAGTTGAGGGAGGCGGGGGACTTGGGGTTCTCTGCTACTAGGATGGCGGTCGATCGTGTAGATAGGAGAATACATGAGATGGCAGTTACATCCTTCGATTGGTATAGTCCACTCAATGATGAGCTCGCGGTCAGAAAACTAGAGGTGGAGCACCTGACTACTCAGCTTGCAGAGGAGAGAGCGAGGAGCCAGGCCAAAAAGGTTGAGTGGGAGAGAAGATTTGGGGAGATGGCAGCCATTGTGGATGGGCTTTCGGCAGCCAGGGTGGCTAGTCTGACGGGACGAGCCGGCGTCGATGGCCAGGATCGGGGGACGCAGGTTTCGCCTAGTCAGGGAGCGACAGCAGGGTCCCCTCGACAGCAGGGTCTCCTCGACAGAGGAGGCTGACGGAGGAGGTCGCTCGGGGTCCGATCGGGGTGGAGGCGATACAGAGGGTTGAGGAGGAGCCTGTTGAGGCAGGAGACCCTATTGAGGTGACTATGCAGCCTAAGTTGTCTCCATCACATGAGGCCCGCACCGAGGGGCTGGTCCAGGGACCCCCGTATCCATCCGCAGTGGAGAGTGGCGCACAGGAGTCGCTCATGGCGATGTCTACGGAAAGGAGAGGTTCGCGTTTACATGAGCTGGCAGTGGCCCTGGGATAGGCACACCACAGAAAAGGCCCCGAGAGTCGGACACACCAGAGTGCGGGCCAGAGAGCCTGGCCATACGAGGGGGTGAGGATGCTGAGGCTGTAGAGCCCGAATCTCCGGGCCACATGGGATTACCATTGTGTCATGAGGTGACCCCCGAGATTATGGGGACGCCATCAGGACAGAGCTCCAGGGGAAAAAAGAAGAAAATTGCGAGGTGGTTTGACGCGTCCTGTTTCTGGTGTAAGAAGGAGGGGCATAGAGCCTTGGACTGCCCGGAACTCCTTGAGGACAAGGCCGAAGGACGCGTTGCGGAGATTGACGGCAAATTCTATGATAGACAAGGTAGGATAGTAGAGCAAGCTCGAGATGGGGGTAGGGCTCAGCTATATAGGCAGAACCAAGAGGGGTTGCGTGAGTAGGGGCTGGTCTGTCTGTGCGTCGGTAGGATCAAAGTGTTTTTGCACACAGAGGGCGGGTTAGAGGTGTACATACCCTGAGTTAGTTGAGTGGGCCCTAGATGTGTGCTTACCTTAGGAGTGGTAGGATGAGTTCCTGCCTGATTGTACATAATTGCCATTGCTTTTTTTTAGTTTCTTCGTGGGCCACGACCTAGGAGATGCAATGTGGCCCTAGGATATGAGGTCATTCAATTTACATTTGGTTTTGTGATTTGGAGACTATTTGTGTTTTCAGTAAGACTTAGGTGTGAGTCTTCCCGGCGGAGTGAGACAAGGGCTGGAAGCTTTTGGGTTTTAGGTAGGTGTTGTGTCCACGAGTGCATCTGATGAGTGAACAATGGGATTATGAGCCCTACTCAGATGAGTGGGGCGTCGAGTTGAGTGCTTGTATTGAAGGAGACATTCTGCTCCCCAAGTGTACTGTGGGTGGAGACTCTATGGGACTTACCTTGTGACGACCACTATCATTCTCACACGTGTGGCTCTATCCTGATGTATGTTTGGCTTTGTGTGGGAAATGTATAGGGTGCATCTCTTGTGTATGTCTGTGAGAATTGTAAAGTTGTCTACTCTCCAGTATACTCATGCGACCTGCTTGCGAGCAGACGAGAGGGCAGGGTATAAGGAGGGGGAGTGCAGCCTGTTTGTGAGCCATTGTGAGAATCCTACGGGATTGATGAATTCAGAGATTTGACTGCTTTGCCACGTCAAGCATTGTTGTTTGAGTTATAAAGAGGACCCAAGAGGTGGTCCCTCAGTTGAAGTTGTTTTGTGATTGAGACCCCCTTCATGATTCTGGAAGGTGGGAATTGTATTGTCATTGAGGCCCCTTCACGGTTGGAAGAGGTCGTGTGGAAGTTCATCCCAAACAGAAAGCGGATGGTTGTGAAATCTCTTGTGAGAGGCACCTTTACCAAGTTAAAGGTGGGTAAAGATTTGAGTGGCATGGAGAGTTTTGTCTGTGTTGATAAAGTCTGACGAGAAGGAGCCATGTTTGCTTGAAATGTTTGAGAAGGTTTCAATGAGTGCAGGGCGAGAGATGTCTTAGGGTGGGCGACTACTGGCTCTATCAAGTCAGGAGGCGCGGCCTGTGGACCCGGCGGGGGATTCTTTCGAGGCTGTGCGAAGGATGTCGTGCCCATTATAGGGGAGTCGGTAAATGCCTTCAAACCTCTGCGTAGTCTCGCAGTGGCCTGTGATTTGTTTGTGACGCCCCGTCTGCCCACGTGTGCTAATTCTAAGACATGTTTAAAGGAATACCAAGCTAACGATAAAGCTTAGTACCACTTGGGCGCAACCCCTAGTGGATGGCTGCTAGCAGGCACAACCTGGCTGCGGACCCGCGAGGTAAGAGTTTAAGGGGAGTTGCCCGCCCCAGGGAAATTACTCTGTGGGATAAAGGTCGAGTCTCTTGAGAATCCTGATTGATTGATTATCAGGAACATGCCTATCGTTGTATAACCAGCGAGAGGGTACTGCCGCTAAGGTAACAACGCGGTGGGTCGTAGACCTAGTCCGATCAACTAGGCTATGGTGGGTCAAGATGGAGACCTAGCGTTTCTGTACTGGACTGCAGAAACGGCTGAGAGGAGATTAAAGTTCATATGTATATGTACCTGTTGAGTTGTAAGGATTTTTTGGGAGGAAGGCGAGAGTGCCTTCTAAGGTATCGGTCAAGGCCAGCGTCCCCAGTGAGATCTCTGTCGATAGTGAAAGAGGCTAAGTGGGAAACCCAACAAGAGGTCGGCGGTTGTCTAGGACAAAAGGGAAGAGGATGGATTTGAGGGCCTTTGGAACTTATACTGTAGTATCGACGCGTAATACACCAGAGTCCTAGTGTTAGGACAATGGAGACCCAGGTTGGAACCCTGGCGGCATATAGTTGTGTTGGCACGGTTTGATGGAGGCCTCAACCCTGAGTCTGTCAGCTAATCGGATTGGTTCTGTTCTCGTCAACATTTGGAGTGTGAATGGAGTTGTAGCTTTCTGATTTGGCGAAGCGACGGGGACGTCGCTTAATATGGTCCAGTAAGCTGTCCGAGCGAATACCCTTACAAGGGTATCCGCCCTGGTTTTTGTAGGCGACAGGAAGAATGGGTATGGTTCAAATAAGCCGTGTGAGGCACTACCGCGTCCGGGGTCCGCCTTGGCCTGGTAGGAGGTATGTAGGCGCGTAATTTTAAGGCGCGCGTGTGATTTTTCTGATGGAGTGGGCGGCCGGTGTAGGGGGCCAACCCGTACCGTGTCATGAATTTGATAAGGGAATGAAGATTCGCCTTTGGTTGGTACGAGCGACCGACGGTAGGACTGGCGCACGGGATGGTGCGCGGGGCAGCCACAACACGGTTTAGGTGAGCCTGTGCGGGTGCCTAGGGATGGCGCGTTGGTTGTAGGCCAAAGAGGGAGGATCTAGGTTGTTTTTCTCGGGCTTAGGCGCCGCGCGGTACCACTTTATGTTGGAATCCGCGCCTATCTGTCTCAGGCTTGGGCTTAGCCCTATTGGTTACGACATCGGACTATTGCGACAGATGTATGGGAATCGAGGCCAGCGAGCGACGACGCAGGAGCAGGCGGAGGAGAAACTGAGGGGTTAAGGGTCCCGCGGGACTATCCGCCTGTTGGGGGAGTTCGATCGTGGGCCTGTTTTGCAAGATCAGGGAACTGACGATAGACCTCGCGGCCTAGTCCTGTCGTTTTCCCAACCTGTTTTCGCCCTTTCCTCTTCGTTTTTTGGGGGTTTTGTGGTTAGTTTATTTTTCTTCTTTTATTTGAGAGTTGCCAGGACCAATTTTTGGGTCGTTGGCCTGCTATAGTGGGTACGCCATGAACTGTTGGAATACTGGCCGCGTTTAGGCCCCAAATGAGGGAGTTACAGTGGGCAGAAGCCAGGCACTTGGGCCTGCCCAGGGGCGGTGTGTATTCCCCACCAGCAGGCCCGGGGTAAAAGCCGAGTGGCTTTTGGGAAGTGTCGCGGGGCGTTGCCCCGACTTAGTCCTTCGGGGCATCCGTAAAAATTGGAGCGATGCAAAGGAGATCCGCATGATTACTGCGCGGAGGGGGGGGTTGTAAGGAAGTCCAGAAGTGAATCCGGACACCGGCGGGGCCAGGTCCGTTCGTAATTCTGACGGGGTGGGTTGGAGCCGAGGCCGCCCGAACTCCACGAGGGCCGATGGCCAAGGGGTGGACCGACGAGTTTCCTAAGTATAAATTAAGGAGCAGCGCCCAGCCATTCGGTGATTTCTGTGGAAGCCATGCGGAAGCGCTGCCCCTGTGCCTTGTGTAGGGAGGTCCGCAGTACGCCCGGAGATCGAAGTGGGCTGAGAGAGCGGCTGGTGACAGGGCAGGGACCAGCGGGCAGTGAGGCGGATAGTGGAGCGAAGCAACAGACAGCGGGG